ATATCAAAGTACAGTAAAATAATCAGGAGATGTTGTAACCTCGTTCATACATCCTTCCAAATTGAGAATGTCCACAAGCTTTACTGTGTTCATCACCATAATCAACTTGTCCTCCTTTCAAATAATAGAATAGCTCCCTTGACCTATAAATTGGCGAAGAAATCATCATTAGCTTGACAATTTTTCACTTAACTAATGGAGAAAACAAAAGGAAAGTAATGACCAATAGGAGATTCAAGAGATGGACCTATCATAAATGCTAGTTAGGGAACCCAAATCAGGGACAAGAACCCTCTCATCTTTGTTTTCAGCCCCTGCAAAATATGATAAGCCTCCTAATCTCTGAAGATATAAAACATCCCCAGGAAAGGGGAACAAACTTAAATGAGATTATATAATCCAAAGAAATCCCTATTGAAAATTTTCCATGTATGGGGGATTAATAAAAGAAAATTTAGGTACCCCTTTGCCGAATCCAAAAATTCCATGGACCAATACAATTGGAGGGAGATCTTTTAGTCTAGTGCTAGTAGAATTTGTTGTAGTTGTCGGTTCTTGCTGTTGTAGTTCTTTAATGACGAGGTCCATGTTAGGTTTAAAATACCAATCACTCAATCCCTGAGAGAGATCCCCGGCCACCGCAGAGCTGAATATGTAGAAGCCATAGAGCATATGCACCAAAGCACTCACAAACAACTCAATCAATTGAACCGCTAACATCCAATACCTCAACATTCTTCCCTTTTTCCTTGTTCCTTCTAGAACTCGTGACAAGTTCTTCAAGCAATCATAAAAAACAGAAAAGAAGAAGAGCCTTTTTTGAAACTTACTGACCTAGACAAAAAAAAGAAGGCCCCCTTTGGTTCCTTTCGTAAGAACCTTCCTTTGTCAATGACACGATAAAATCAAATGGTAATATTGAAATAAGATGGAAGCCAAAGAGATTTCACAAGCTATGAAAGAGAGAAGAGAAGAAGAAAGGAAATAAACAAAATTTTGAGAAAATGTTTTCCTCTCTCTCTCTATTCCATGCACAACCTCTACTCTCTCATAAAAAAAAATATAAATGGGAAGGAAGATTTCATTGTCTATTTGAGTCTTTCATCGGCCTTAACTTAAAAAATGGCAGCATGACATAATTCTCTTTTTCCTCGCCTTTTATAATTAGGAAAAAAACAGTTTCCATTTATTTTGACAGCAGAAAAATAAAAGTAGACACGGGTCGAAACTTCACCAATCACACATATTTTGATTAATTTAAATTTTATGAGCTCGTTCAACATAAGTGAACAACTAGAAATAGAAGATAAAATAAAGGACCATGATCAATGTCATGAAGATAAGACCAATGGCTTCCACTTTCTTCAACAAAATCTTTCACAATTTACATGAGGGTCCGTATTGCTAAGTTATCTTATTATTTTTTTGATTATTCACTAAAAAAATCTTTCAAGTTTGTGGATTCAAAAGATAGTCATTTTTTGTATATGATATAATTCAGCCAAAAAAATGCACATTGATGCTTATGGGTTACAGAGAACGAGGTAGGAAGAATATACATATGCTATTATTTTAGGGGCACTTTGATGCTTTTGATGCCTTTTGTTAGTTTTTATATGGTTTTCAAGCCTTGTCGTGATAGAGGATGGATATACATATGCATAGGATCAAACACGATCAAACTTTTAGGTCAAACAAGTAAGTTATATAAATTTCTCAGAACTTGGCTTAGAATAGTGGTCCATAATAGAGGGTTAGTAGCAGAATGGCGGATCTATTCCACCAGTCACAAGCCAAAATAAAGCTTGCTGTTTATTTTGAGGATATAGTTGATGGACGTGTACCATTTCAATTTAAGCAAAACTGGTGGCCCAAGAACCAAAGTGGAGGATTTTCCCCACATATTGAATCCCAAATCACCGATTATGTCATTGTTGAATCAATGAAATTTTCTTAAAATCCCTAGAATGAACAAAGTTTTTTTCTCGGATCATAAAATCTCTTGTACATACAACATAAAATTAGACAATCTAGGAGCTCGTCTCTTAGAGGAGGAGAAGGTGACTCCAGATTTTGAAAGCGACGGATCAAAGGTACCATAACATTAGGTTGCAATTATACTTCAAAGGTTTACTCGTTACTCTTATAACTGTGTGCTTTGCCTTTACTATGAGTGGCTAGAACAGACTTGTTATTTAGGTTGTGGAACCAAAAGTGGTTATGAATTTCTATATCCTGATTTAATATGATTTCATTAACCTTTCTTCCATAGTTCTCACCATTCTTAGTTGTTTATATTTGATCTATCCTAACAGCAAAAACTGTGGTCAGTATAGTTTCAAATGAAAGACTAGGTATAACTCCTTTGTTTCTTCGATCACCAAGACAAGAAAATTAGCGTATCAATTGAACGGTTAGATTATCAAGGCAATAAATTTATTAAAATGTTAGGGTATGTAGACGAGAGTCATGCATGAACTCACCTGTTTACTGTAAACGAGAGATTATGGGTAATACTTAACGAATTGAGTTGGATCGAGAAGTGGCAACTAACTTTATTGATTGTATGTTGATTATCTTATAGTAATTTGGAAAAATATGAGGGGAAGTAAAGCCTAAACAACACAGTATAATCTTGCTTACAAATTTTTTTATTTTTTATTTACTGGAAGTTTGTGTTTTTTTATTTTATCTCGTTTTTTTTTTGCTAGTTTTTCACATTATTTAAAGAGAAGAAGTCAAACCCTAACCACAAACCAATTTCAAATTTAATTTGCTCTTCAAAAATAGGTGAATCGAGGGAACCCTAGGGAATACATGACTCCATAATGTCTAATCTTTTGGATATTACTTTGAGTCTCAATACTATGAGACATCAAGTTTTTGGTGCCGCTGTTAGCGATCCCTCAATTCTATTGAAAGGGACCACAACTTATGCCTTTGTTTTTTGTTTTGTTTTGATTTTCATTTCCCCCCTAACCTTGATTCACAATTTTTCATTCATGTGTGGGCATGAAAATTCTAGGTATTCCGATGTATGAACTCTATAACCACCAGACACGACGTGCACATGCAAAAACTAATTGATCGATTGACTGCACAAATGGCTCATACGTCTAGTGATTCAATTCACATTCATGCATGATCATCATAGCAAAGGTTTGGTTTGACTGAGTAGACAAAGTAAGAGATCGAAGAAGTTTTTGAGGAAGAATCACTTTAATTTCATCGTAAAATCGAACTTCCTCACTCAAGAAGAGGACTTTGGGTGAACTTTATTGTGAGACCTACATGGAAGAAGACATCAAATCTCCTCCAGAAATTGATTCAAAAAGGGGATGAGATGGTAGGAGTTATACTTCGTTCGAGCATGCTAGCACTGAGGCAATAAACATTCATACTAATATACTTTTCTCTCCTATCACTAATGCAAACAGTGTGTTTCGATTTGAAGACATTCAAATGGTCCAAAATTCTAGCAATTTTGGAGGAAGAGAGGATGATAACCTTATCCAATATATACAGAATCACTTGGAGATCTGCGACTCAGTACATTTTTAGGGGTTTATGGTCTATTCTATTTGCTTTATCTATTTCGTTCCCACTCTTAAGAAGGATGGATTCATGGCTTAATACAGAACCTCCTGTATATTTTTCACTTGGAATGATCTTGCCCAGACTGTTGTGGAGGAATATTTTTCCTACATGGAGGACCAGAAAAATTAAAGAAAAAATTCACAATTCAGATAGTGCACGTCTCAATTCTTGTATGATGCTTGGAAATGATTTCATGGAATTATTCACTTCTTCCCACACCATGTGTTTGGCTACGAGAAGTTTGCTAACATTTTAGGCAAGAGATTATATGAAAATACAATTGTCTTGGTCAACCCTGGAGCATATGGGGAATCATGTAGATTAGTATAAAATTTTCTCTATAGCATTTCATAACCGTTAAAAATTTCAGGAACTGGTCTAGGACTGATTCTAGATTAGTAAAGTGGATCAATGTTATAACAATAACTATACTGCATGGAAAATGCAAATGAAAGAACTAACAAAACAACTCAGTGAAATGTGAGATGAAAAGATCATTCCTCCAACTAAAATGGTAAGTTTTGTGAGTGGTGTAGCGATACTAACCACTCTGGAGGTGATTGCTTCGATTTGGAGAACACATTGAAGGCTGATGTTAACTTTGTGGGGGATGAGTACTCAAAGAATTGACAAGAGAGGAATAGTAACAATTTTTGAAGCTAGAACAACTATGAAAATTACCAAAACCGGCCTTGACATCATGCTGACAACTAGTCGATACATGGGGACCAAATCCCAACAAATTTCCAAAGGTGACATCTACAAGTGCGCCCTACATACCCAACTCAAACTAAGATAGTATACCAACACAATAAGGACCTTATAGATTCCAAGAGCAACCTCAATTTTAGGGACATGATGAAAAGTCCTACAAGAAGGTCTCACTCGACTGGAGAAGCATGAAACTCTAGTTCATAGTCAGTATACTATGCTCTAAGTTTTAGAACGTCAGATAGCCTCACTAGTTAAGATGATCAATGGAAGACAACCAAGGAGTCTTCCTAGAAATGATGAAAATAATACAAGAGGCAAGCCTTTGGTGAGAGCATCAGCAAGCTGCAAAGCAGTAGGAATATAACAAACTTGAAGTTGCTTGGAGTAAACAAGTTGGCTCACGAAATGATAGTCGAGGGCAAGATTCTTCATACGAGAATGGGAAAATGGGTTGGAACTAAATGCGACAGCACCCATGTTGTCATAGTAGATAATAGGAGGAGAGGAGAGAGGCTGATGAAGTTCAGTAAGAAGCTTGCAGATTCACCGAAGCTCGGAGGTGGCAAGGGTAATGGGGTAATGGCACGATACTCAACATCGGTGCTAGAGATAGCAACGATTTGTTGTTTCTTAGATTTTCAGAAAATGAGAGTATCACCCCAATAGACGAGAAAAACTAAGGTGGAAGTATGATCATCAAGATCCCCGGCCCATTCAGAGTCCGCAAAAACATGAAGGGAAAGTGGGGAGGACAGTCGACGGATGTGAAGACCAACTGTACTCATCCCAGCGATGTAAAGCAAGAGGCATTTAACATACTGCCAATAAATAGTGGTGGGAGCATGCGTGAAATGGGAGAGTTTGCTGATGGCAAAGGCCACATCATGACGAGTGGTGAACAGGTACTGAAGTGCACCCATAACCTGACGATAAAGAGTCCCATCGGTCGAAACCGAGCCATCAATAAGGATGAGATGAGTCATGGGCGTGATAGGAGGGGCCATCAAGGCCTCATTCATATGAAACCAGTGTAGTCTATCCATAATATACTTGTGCTGAGAGAACGGATAGCTAGTAAGTGTACGAAGGATCTCAATACCAAGAAAATAGGTGGCATCTATTAGGCTCGTGAGAGAAAAACGAGAAGATAGTTCGGTTTCAAACTATCTCAAAAATGTTGGGAGTATTGCATGGGAGTAGAAAATCATCAACATACATGAGAAGATAGACAATTACCAAACCTCGACTATTGACGAAGCGAGATGTATTCGAGCACGTTTTACGAAGGTCACACTACTCGAGAAATGCACTTAATGCCTCATACCAAGCTCGTGGGGGTTGTTTCAAGCCATAAATGGCCCATTGAAGATGATAGACATGATATAGATGTTCATGATCAACAGAGCCATGGGGCTGAGATATGTAGGCTACCTTCTGCAACGACCCTTGAAAGAAGGCATTTTTTACATCAAATTGTGAGATGGACCACCGTTGAGAAAGAGCGATGGTGACCACGGTACGAATAGTGATGGGTTTGAGAACTAGACTGTACTTCTCACAAAAATAAACTCCCGGTCACTGATGAAAGACCTTGGCATCAAGACGGGCCTTGAAACATTCAAGAGAACCATCTAGATGCTGTTTAATGCAATATATCCATCGATTGCCGACAACGTTGAAGGACGATTGTTGGGGAACAAGATCTTATGTATGGTTGAAGCATTAAGCTCCAAACTTAGCATTCATGGCCCGCCACCATTATAGAGACCAAATTGCTTCTTTGACCGTGAGTGGGAACTGGGGAAGAGTCACCTATGACGTAGAAATAGCTACAAAATACTTGAGATCAGGCTTATAAATATTGGCACGGGCCCGAGTAACCATGGGATGGTGATCTTGTGGCGAAGTGACTTAAGCTAGAGGGTTCAAAGTAGTTTGTAGAGGTGATGGGACCTGCGACGGCTCTGGCGAGGTCGGAGTAGGGGATGTCTCAAGTGGAGTCACATGTGATGGAGGAGGCGCTGGCAGCGTCATATAGGTGACAAGAGGAATGCGGCAAGCCATGCTGGAGACTTAACAGATGGAGAGGTACAAGTGGTTGTCGAGGATACTCTAGGAAAATCAGTTTCAATGAAAACCACATGACGAGAAAGATAAACAAGATTTTGGTGGGGTTAAAGACATTTATAAAGCATTTTGTTGAGAGTACCCAAGGAAGCCAAGGGAAGCAAAGACAACCAAAGATACGATGTTTAGTGTAATGGGGAGTCTCATTGAAAAACTCCTAAAAGGGAATACGACTTCGAAGAGCAAAGGAAGGTAGTTGATTTATAAGGTAGACAATAGTCGTGACTGCATAAGACCAGTAAGTGAGAGGCAATTTAGCTTGGTGAAAGAGAGAAAGGCTAGTTTCAACGACATGATGATGCTTTCGTTCAGATGACCGTTATGCTCAAGAGTGTAGGGTGGAGTGAGAAGATGAGTGATGTCGTTGTGGTTTTTAGTTTTTGGAATTTGCCGTCAGCGTTAGTGTATGAGATTTTGATGGGAGGTAGAATATAGTTTTCAACTAGCTTTTGAAAAGCAACGAATGTGACTAAAACATCATACTTGTAATGAAGGGGGTATATCCATGTATAGTGAGTAAAATAATCAACAATGACTAATTAATACGAAAATCCATCAATGGAGGTAATAACCGCGACCCCATACATCAGAAAATATCAAATAAAATGGACGGGTGCTAGACAGACTCGAATCAGAAAACAAAAGTTTGTGACTCTCATTAGAAAGACCAGACGTACAAGGAGAAATAGTAGACATGCGTGACACATGAATGGAATGGGGCTATCTTGCAACCTAATGATCCTAAAAGAAAGACTTTAGGAGAAATATGCATTAATTGCGTCTTTGTTGGATATGCTGGAAATTCTAAGGCATAGCGGTTCTACGACAAAGACCAAAAATGCGTACTCAATTCATTCAATGATTGAGTAAAGAGACCCCATTTCTTATTAAAATTGGTTTTCATCAATGTGACGACCAAAAGGCATAGTTCCTCATGGTAATGAGGGGATTGAGGAAGATACTTCCCAATTAAATTTCTCATTATTCGACATAGTAAAAGAAAAGGATTGTAAAATCTTTTGGACCAGATTTTCACATGTATCTTATGGAAGGATGTAGACAAGAAGTACACTCTCAATATTCATATTCGCTTAATATTGATGATGATCCTAAAACATTTGATGAAGCTGAAGTATCATGACATTGCCTTTTGGAAAGAAGTTGTTAATGATGAAATAGATTCTATCATGGGGAACAACAAATGGGTTCTGGCGGATTTACCACTTGGATTCAAACCTATTGGTAATAAATGAATTTTTAAAAGGAAAATGAAATTCGATGGGACCATCGACAAGTTTAAGGCGTGTTTGGTAATCAAAGATTTAAAAAAAAAACATGAGATTGATTACTTTGACACTTATGTGTTTGTTGCTCGAATCACTACCATTAGATTATTGATTGCTCTAACACCAATTCATAATCTAATCATCCATCAAATGGGTGTCAAGACAACATTCTTGTTATAAGCTAGAGACTTGATAGTCAAGTCCGTGTAAGGGATGGGTTTAAAGTCCTTATAATTTCTCGCCATGGAAAAACAATTCCCCTCTTAGAGGCTGAATTCAATGTGGAAATCCCATAATACGAAATTGAAGCACATTTATCATCTCAGAGTATGTGCTTGTATCTTGCACGAGAGAAGAGGCTGAATTCAAAACTTCTTAATTAAATCTTTGAGAAAATGTATTATGCATGTACATAAGTAAAAGAGTCAACCTAACTATGAAGTTTAGTCACTTCAAGAAACTCAGACTTTGGTTTCGTGTGCGCTTATAAGAAGGATTGGAGTACATGGCGGGTAATATTGTCTAGATTACCTGGAAGTTTGTAAAACGTTAGTGTATATTATCTTCGATATTCATTTGATTAGATAGGTTCAATCATCACCGACACCCTTGTATTTGAATATCCGTTAAGTGGAATATACTAAGATGGAAATTCAATCGCCACAATATTTCCATTTATGGTTAAGTTTTATTATAAGAATGTGCGATGTTTTAATTTTGGTGGATTCTTTAAATACACAAATGGAGAGGAAAGTTGAAAAATGACATGAACCAAGTTGGTTAAATAATTGGACCGGTCAAATTTAATTAAAATTCTCCAAAGTTCCATTAAAAGTCACCGCTTCATTAAGTTTGAATTAACAAACTTTTCCATGGATGTTTCATTAAGTTTGAGTTAGCAATATTCTCCATCCCATTTTCTCCACCTGATGCAATTCCCCTAGACGCAACCAACGGGTTGGGAGTAATTAATGCATATAATGTGTTGTTATTCCCATGAAGCATATTAATATTAAGATATGTTAAAGCACTTTGAGTTTTTACCCTATGCCACGTACTCCAAACTGAAAATGTAGGTTGTCCACGTTACAGACTCCTTTTCCCCTTCTTCGACCATGTTTCCTCTATTATTTATTTTCTTCATGTGTGGACAAAATCTATGTTCCGCCACGAAGATTGGCTTCCCTTCTAACTTTCTTTTTATCCATGTCCATCCTAACACTTCCGACTTGCCTCTCCAAATTCCAAAGGCGGCAGTCCTACTCTCTGTTGTTAACCGATTTTCCTATTTCACATGCCCAAGCAACAGAGTCCCTCGCTCAATTCCAGTGAAGTGGTCTTGCCAAGCCAAAATCTTAATGGTACTTCTATATGATTAGGTCCGTTCTCTGATCTCAATCAACTTCTATTATCTGTTCCATGTCATTCATTCCACTTTTCGTCCAATTGGCAGGCCAAAATTTTCAAACGCATCCAACTTTATATTTTAATTCCAGTTGCAAGTCTTTCTCTAACAACGGTAGCAGATGGACATTATCGTGGGATGCGAATGAAACTTTGATTAAATCCATAGATAATTTAATTGAGGTGCTGAATGAGTATGAGGAATTGAGTGGCCAACGCGTTAACTTAGCAAAACCGGCGGTGTGTTTTAGCAGGAATATTTCCACGCCTGATCAGGAATTCTTGGCCATGATCCTGGGGGTTGGTGTTGTGGGGGTTCATGACAAATATCTGGGGCTGTCCACGCTGGTCGCTCGATCCAAAATGGCTACGTTCAGATATTTGGAGGATAAATTCTTAACTTCAGGGGTGGAAGCAAAGGACATTATCGTGGGCTGCGAAGGAAACTTTGATTAAATCCATAGCGTTGGCCCTGCCCCTGTATGTTATGTCATGTTTTCGTCTTCCCCTAACTCTTTGTCGGCTTCTTGATAGACATGTGGCCCGTTTCTGGTGGGGTGCTGAGGAGGGAAGTCCCAAGATTAGATGGGTATCCTGGCGCAACATGTGCAGGAGTAAACATGAAAGGGGGATGAGATTTCGCCTGTTTGAACAGTTCAATCAAGCTCTTCTGGCAAAGATAGGTTGGTGTATTCTTAATGAACCTCAATCGCTTATTGCCCATATTTATAAAGGCAAGTACTTCCCTTAAGGGTCCTTCCTGACCGCGGTTGCTAGGTCTCGTCCCTCTTGGGGGTGGCAGAGTATCCTTCATGGGCGTCAGTTATTGGAGATGGGATTAAGATGGCAGGTTGGAAATGACCAATCGATCTCCCTCCTTCATTCTAACTGGATTCCTAGGTTCCAATTAGATCCCCCGTGCTATAATACGCGGATTTTGCCTAAGGGGGGTGATCCTTTGGTGACCGAGGTTATTTGTCAAGGGGAAAGGAGGTGGTCTGATGAGAAGCTCAGTCAGTGGTTTGACACGCCCACCAGGAGGGCTATCAAAACTATTCCTCTGCCTAGATGGGATGTGCTTGACAAGCTTATCTGGCATTTTATGCCTGATGGGCTTTTCTCGATGAAGTCGGCATACCATTTGGCTGTCGATTTGGACAGGAGGAGGGGTGGGTGGGGATCCTCGGTAAGCTGGATGGATAAGCCGAGTTGGATAA